GTCGTCCTCTACAAGAAAGGTCGTATGCAGTTTTTCTGTAGGACGAACGGTTTGGGAGTTATTGAGGAAAAACGAAATTGTTTACCAAAAGTTCGCCATTTCGACGGTGGGACGGTCGGATTTTCTCAAGACCTATAAAATGCCGATTAGTCATACTTAACTCGTTAAATATTGAAGTTAGATGAAAAATGCATAGAACCTTTCTCGTAGAGGACGTCAGGACGTACAACTTTTGCATAAAAAACTTTTCGCCAGAGTCAATAATTAATTGGATATTACCTTCTATACTTTATGGCACGTACCTATTTATTATTAGCATTGTTCTTCCGACGTCTGATTTCTTTTTAATTATAGCAAATGCGTTTTTCTAAGATACATAAACTTTTGAGATTGACTGTATAGCCAATACATCCTTAATTTCATTTTAGTTCAGTAATCGCTCGTATTCCATTGAGATATTTATATGATATAACCAGTCAATGAGAGTCATCATGGAAAATAATGTACCGCTGGATGCTGATTCTAAAGAGCCCTGAGGTGATGAAACTAAATTTATTAATTTATAAGAATTAATACAAGCTCCGTGAAATACAAAATTCTACAACATCTTTGAATGAACTCAAAGGGGAGTTAGTTATATGACTCGGCTACGTATGTATCATTCTTATGGATTCACCCTGTACATAATAGAACAGTATATAATCGGGAATTCTGAAGAGGGATGAAATAAACGGAAGGCTAGTCTGACAAGTGGCGCCCCGCTTTAATCCCTCCTCGTTGCAACCCGCAAAGTTTAGCATAAGACAAGCGTACGCGTCCCGTCTTTCTCCTGTCTCTCTGGCTCGAATCGAGTATTCCGAAAGTGGCGCGTATACACACGCTCGCGTGTACAGAAACCGAAGACAGGGGATGGGTGGAAGGAAAGTAGGGTGGTAGGTGAGAGGATGCAGAGAGAGAGCAACAGGTTCCCTAAAGCTCGATTGACACGCTTCGGGGATTTTCGCCAGACTGTTTTGCATCTGCTGACTACTCTCGAAACCCGTCATACGTCGAACTCTTTTGTCCTTCCAATTTTCTTACGTGATTCACCAGAAGATGCGTCTCGCGACTTCTATTACGTGCAGCGTCGCATTATGAATTCGTCATTTGTAAAATTGTCTGCAGGGCTTCCTTACTTTCATTCTGCATTAAGAAAATTCCAGTCATCGATGGATTCCTCGTTTGAACATCTCAGATCTCTGTGACTGTTCTACAGCTTCGTATTGAGAATTTGTCAATCGTACGAATTGCGACCATCGATGCATTTTTCCTTCCCATACGAATCGAGTATCTCGTTCATAAATCTTGACGGAGTCTGAAGTTATTTGCGTTTACGAGCGTATGACTGTAAGCACGTGGCCGAATAAGTTTGCCAGAGTGTCGATGATCGTACGTCACAGTTCACAGCTGAGCCACGTGAAATACCCATCGTTGGTTGCCAGTATGCGTTCACACGTACGACTCTCGGTCGGGCTCGTGCATCTGGCAAGGGGATGAAGGCGCGGGGGCGGTGTAGGAAGAGATGAATATGTGAATATGTGCCACGCGAGCGAACGAGCGTGCGAATGAAAGTGAAAACGGGGTTGGAGGGCCTCCGCGTGCTCCTCCGCCTCCCACTCCCTGTCTATCCGTCTTTCTCTTGCCTCCCGCGTGCTGTATTGCACCCGGTATGCAGCCGTGCATCATTCGGTTCGATGTACATATGTATAGACCCGAGGTCGAATCCCGGTTTACCGGTTCCACCCTCTTATCCCCCGTCTCCGACTCTTCCTCCACCAAGGATTTCCTGTACGTACACTCGATACAGACGAATGGCCCGTGACACGAGTTCCGACGGCTTCCCGTTGATCGAAAACGAGTTTCTCCAGTCAGATATTTCTGATACATATTACACCGAAGGTCACAGATCGAATTTCAGACAAATTGTTATTGATAACATTTCAATACGTAAGGGTTGGATTTCCAGCGAAACGTATTACGGAACGCTGAGGTCCATTCTGATACGATTCGCAGTCGACAGTCGGATATTCGTGCTTTGTATCGCAACAGACAAATCAGGAAATACGTGATGAATTAATATTCTTCCATCTACGCGTAAGGGGTGAATTTTTAGTAAAATTCTGAAGTAAAGATAACCGTTGAATTGGAACTGCGAAAAAGTAGAAATCCATTCTAACACGATTTATAGTCGACTAGCTTCGAATGGTTGAATCTGCCATTCATACAAGTAAATCGGTTCGCCATTCAATTCTCGTGTGTACACGAGTCGCACTGGAACGAGTGCGGTCAGTGGTCGGTAGTTCGAAAGGAATTTAATGGACGTAGGTCAAGAACGTGCGATTACGTGCTGCCGTAATGGGTCTATCGGCATTTAACCCATTACCGTGTATATACGCACGATTTTTCTGAATCAGCACAGTAATCGCACGGATTAGTCGTTAACGTAACATCAATTAATACACGAATCGAATGTTATGTGAAACATTGCATTGAACATCGTGTTCATTCTTATTATAATATTTCGGTAATCAGCGATGCGAACGCGGGCGATGGAGTCGACGAACGACCTTCCCGTTTCTTTCACGATTACGTCTGCATTCTAAAAGCCCGTGCACAGGTGGCACGCGCCGATTACGTAAAACGCTGGCTGCCGCATCCATAATGTACGAGTGGCTTCGCTAAAACACGTCAGGCCACCTTCCCGCGGATACACGCTGTGTTCCCGGAGAGGTACAATCCTATCGGTTCGATCTTCGTCCCTCTCCCACCTCCCTCGTGCACGTCCACTTGAATAAGGCGCACGGGCAAGGCCGCGGTCTAAACTTGTCCGGCGATGAAAACTTGGCACGAAACAGCCTAGTGACCCCATTGTCTGGCTCTCACCGCGGCAGAGCGCGCCCCCGCACGCCGCTGCATTAAGCCAGAATTAACAAAGGGTAGATATACTCGCGCCCACGACCCCTGACCTCCCGCGCCGTTTTCCCACCCTTCGACGTTCTCCGCGATCCTTCTCGACCCTCCGCGCCCACGCCTTGCGACGACGTCTCCGTTGTGTACCGGGCCATTTGTTTCTAACTGCGAGCTACGCAAGACGAGCAACAGGTCCAGGATGCAATCACACGTTGGCCCACTTCCGGCCACTTTCCATGGGACGCGGAAGATCCCTTGGGTGATGTTTCCGGTCTTGTGTACACGAGAGATGGTCAGTTCAGGAATCCGAGGTACGTAGTGGTAAAGGTGATACAGCGTAAAACAGGTTTAACACTTATGCAAATTTTTATTCAAGCATCTCATGTGCGTTGCAAACGCAGCACGTGCTATGTTCTTATACGCTTTTCGCAAAACCGTGAATCGGAACCGGTTACGAAATTCAGAGAGCAATTCGTTGCGTTGGAAATAAATCGTCGCGGCTGCGTTCGACACAGACGCGGGACACGCGTTGCACGTAGCTGGATTTGTTTTTTTTTTTTGTTTTCTCGAAACTGGGTCATTTTGCAACGCGCCGCATGGAAGCTATAAATCTTCTCGTGGGTGGTGAGGGACTTGACCTTGCCACTTGAACTTGTCCCCTTTCCTGGCCGCTGCGGTTTCGACCGTCATATAACTTCGCCAGTCATTCTTCCTCCCCGTCGCGTCGGATCACCGTAGTTTGAATCCTAAACTTCCGGGAAACAAAGGATCCGCGGAAACTTCCTCGTGTTCACCTTTCTCCGCTCGCGACTGCTGATTGCACTTCCCTGTTCGTCTCGTATAGATGTGTTCGTAGTAAACATTTCAAGTAGCAGCTGTGAATGCGTTGAAAAATAATTCTTCAAATATACGAAGCAAATATGTAACAATCATTTGTTTAATAGCAAATAATTTTTGTACGTATCTCAGTTTGAAAACGATACCTCACAAATATTGACATTAAAATTGCGTTCACCGTGGAACGTCGAACTTCAGAATTAATTTAGAAATCTGGTTGTAACGGAGCAATAAAAGAGGAGCGAGTCGGCGAAACGGCTGTATAGAAATATCGATAAGATGAGAGGGTGACGGAACGAGGCTGTACATGTGGGCCAACAATTTATCGTACGCGGCTACGATATGGGGGCAGGTCAGTGATATCCGAGCGGAGTTTAAACGGTTGTTCGCTTGGCTACAAACTCTCGATGGCCAGCGAGGGCTCTCGAACCGCTTGTAAGCACACAGAACAAAACAAACGCCGCCGGCTCCTGTCACTTTGAGCATTGCTTATCTCACCGTTCCCTCATCTAATAATACTGTTGATCTTCGCTATTCTGATTCCACAGGCAGCGATTGATTACACACTGTCTTACCTCGTTCTAAATACTTGTTGCTCCATGTATATATTTTATTGTCAGGACAGGAATCGTGTCTGTTTCGGACGTTGATTAAAAACCTAAGATAATAAGATAGGCTTTGCATCAATTGTAATTTCGTTTAATTCAATCTTGCTACGTCCGTTCTTATTGAAATTCTTCTATACTTTTGAACTCGATGCGTGACTTTCTGAGGACGACGGTGGTTCATCCCCGTCGCTAGTAGGTAGTTATTATGCGTGGGGCGAGTTTCAAAGACCGTGATCGTAACCTAACAATCAGGGCTCCTGGTAGTTAGTGGGGCTATTAGCCGACGTCGCTTCTGCCGCCCAGTAATCAACGCCCGGGCTGCAGCAACAGTGAAACAGAGACGAACAGTGTACACGCTTTGAGCCACTGAAACACTAACTGTACAATTATCGTTAATCGACGAGTCGTAACAGAACGTTGGCTAGCTGTGACAGGAAAGCGTGACAGGATGACCGGCTGTCCTTGGAATCATTCGCACATATTTCTGATGTTAAAAACATAATGGGTTTCACGTGCATTTAGTCTGTCAAGCTTGATACTAATAATAACTGGACTGAGAATTCATTGATCATGTAACACGTGGGAAGGGGAAACTGGGTCGAAGAGAGTGTAACTTATCGCGACATAGTTATGTACTTTTCGCGGGATAATCTATATGTAGAAGGGGACGTTTATCCAACTTGGGAACTATGTGTTCGTCAACCCCTTTCGACTTCGCAATACACCCTCGCGAGTTCGGTAAAGTTAAAGAAGCTTTCAAGGTTCCGCGGTATATTCATTCAACACCGGAAATAGCTCGGTCCTTACCTATTCTCGTGTAACGCGTTCACGTTTCGATGAATGAAAAGCGTGAATTAAAACGAACCCGATTAATGCGCTCCCGATGGCTCGCCTCGATACCATGTAAATTTACGTTATCACGGAATCACCGGCAATTATAATTTCCATTGTGCGCTCGTTATTTATACTAATGTATGGAAACTGAGAACATTAAGCTTAGGGTAATCGATGAGCCAGTTAGTCCCGCATATTGTCCCTCTTATCGTTACACGACAGAGATAGTCAGATCGATTGGTACGTATTTTTGTCAGGATAATTTTATTTCTTACCGACTCGACCCCGCGTGCATTGCGTGCGCGAATAAAAACGTGCAGTCGAGTTTCACTTTCGATTCGCTCGCATGCACGTGTTCCTGGCTATCTTATCGCTCTACAACAAAGTCGCCCGGTAGTCTCGATCCTGCGCGTTCTCTTTCGAGCGGTTCTTCATCCAGACACCCGGTTAAAGTCGCGGAGAAAGAGAGGAAGCACGCTTACTACGGGCGTACTCTCGAATACGATATGACCGGGCGCGAGGTCGTATCCGTACACGGTTCAACACCTACCAAAGTTCCGTACTCGTGAATGAACTTCCTTGTGTGGAACCGTTTATGCTTTCCCTTCCTGGCTGCCGTTCGTTGCACACGTGTATACAGCGCGCGGCCGCTGCGTGTGCGTCCGAGCATTGTGTACGTGTGTACACAAACGAGGCGTGTGTGCAACGTTCTCCCGTGAGGGGTTAAACGGCTTCCCAACGTGGTCAATAGTTTCCCGATCCCTCCCTCGGCATCCCCCGCGCCCTCCCGCGCCACCGTCCCGGCCACCCCATCCCATCCGTTTCCCTTTAGCCTCCAGCACCGCGACGTTTCCTCTCTGCCACTTTATATCATGCCCCCTGGCCTCCCCCCCGTCCAAAGAACGGAGAAACAAGACCGAAGACGTCTACCTCTGCTCCCTTTCTTCCTGTTCCTCGTTCCCTCCTTTTTCCTCGTTCCTTCCTACCGCTAGACTACTTTTTCCTTTTGTTCGGTTTCGCGTTGCTTCCTCTTCTCCTCCAAGGTTTATCCCAAGATTGATCTCTTGTTTTTGTCAGGATGAACTTTGAGACTTTTTCCCTTTTGTCGTCGTATCGAGTATGGTCGAATCGGGGCACTGGAGCACTGGCTTCGCCGAGAGTCACCTTTCCGCTTAGTTAATCTTTGCACTTTAAAGTTTTAGATTATGAAAGCATGCACGTACTCCTTCAATGGAACTCTGCATACTAAAGACGGGTTGCACAAAGGGTATTAAGCTTTTGGTCAAATTAGGTTGTGCAGTTTATGAATGGATTTGAACTATGTACTATTGGGCCACGGTGCGGTTTTCCGTGTGTTTGTACGCGTAACAGGGCAAAGGAGGGAAAGAGAGGACGGAACGAGGGAGACGGAAGGGCCGGGCAAGAATGAATGGCACACGCCGTGTTAATAGCTTGTTCTCGGTTCAGGGTTGTGCGAGGTCAGTTCGCTTTAAACCGGCCCGATGCCCCGTTATAACTCGCACGACCGTCACCTGTCGTCTTCTTTTTGGCCCAGCTAATACGTTACTGGGATTTCGAGCGTGAACGCCAGCTAAATTGATCACTGAATTAGCCGGGCTCAATGAGCCCACCAGACATTATGCTCCGTTTTGTCGTATCTTAACAGCGATGCTAATACTGTTCTCATTTTATTTTTAATACCATTGAGACAATTTACATACATACATAGTTCACGATATCCGAGCACCGTGTATTTATGTGCTTATAATTTTATTAATACTTTTGCTCCTGTCGTTGTCACGCGATGTATTACATTTATTGATTATTACGAATCTGTAATGAATCATTTCTTGAATACTTGGCGAATGTTCATCCGTTTCCCAACAGATTGCTTAACGATAATGAAAAATAATTCGGGAATCAACGGTTAATCTTGTCTTTAATTCCTCTAAACGAGGCTTGAGAGAGAGAGAGAGCCGAAAGCGTTGCACGAATCGAAAGAAAGGACGAGGGTAAACAGGCTTGTACAGAATTCCAAGCTGTTTGAAGAAACAACAGAATCTAATTTTTCCCGGTGAAACCGACCCGGCTCATCAACAGGGAAACCACGTGTCGGCACGCGGCTCGGAGTTAATAGCCTGCTGCTTCGGGATTGCCTCAGGTCGGTTGACGTTTACATAAATAGTCGGGGCTTGGAAGAGAGAGAGAGAGAGAGAGAGAGAATCAGCGGGGGTGTGTATACGTGCAACGGTTCACCACCAGCACGGGTACCATTAGAGCGAAAAGGAATAATGAACCGGACGGAGAAAGAGGTCCGAGAGGGAGAAGGGAGAAAGAGGTCTCGCAACCGGTGCCGCAGTTGGTGACAGGTTATTAGTCTACCGTAAGTCTGGCCGCGATGAATGAGAATAATAGCTTAGATGTGACATTGTCCCAGTGTTAGACTCGTGCCAGCCTGTGCTACCACCGTCTCTTTCCGTTCCTCTGCCTTGGCGCCTCCTTGTCCGTCTCACCTCTGCACCCGTGTCCTCTCTTCCCCTCTGCCTACCAACGCTCGTTCGCGTCGACGACCCGGCATTAGTGTCGTAATCTAGGTCTAGGCGTAGTCTTGCCCTCGCCAGGTGTCATGTGCCTATTGTTCCTCAATGAAATCTCGGTAGCGTCGGTCGGACAGCTTCAGCGACATAAAATTCGGACCACCGAGAAATTATTGCGGCTCAGCTACCGAAACGATCATTCATGGTTTTCAAGGTGGGTCTGATGACAAGCTGGGATGATGAAGGCTCTGACTAATTGAACTTACTTTTGGTGCCCCTATGAATGTGCGCTCTCGAAAATCTGCTCGATTGAAGAGAATTCTAAACATTCTGATCGTTTATTTCGTATGGAAATTCCCGGTTGCCGGGAATTGCAGAACAATTTTTTAGCCGTTCGGTAAAAAGTAGTTTCATGTCTGTTGAGGACGAGTGTGTAACCGCAACAGGTATCGGTTACTAATTTTTATGACGACTTTAACGATGGGCAAATTTACGACCTCGTTAAACGTCTTTCATCGACTTTACCTCAGAAAATAAATACGTCTGGACCAAGCTGAGTTACGTTATTTACAACATTCTAATAGGAAGGTGTCACGGGTTTGTTCTGTCGATCTGCTATCTTTTCATCGAACGTACCTCATTTACCCAGAGGCTTTACGATCGTAAATCATGACGCATCGTAACAGGCCCGATTGTTCGGCCTGCTGTCTCTCCTCTCGTTTCTATATCCGTGATTCACCTGTTCCTCCGTCGCGCGTCGACCCTAGAAAGAACTGGCACGTGCTCAACCGCTCGTGCATTAAACAGAAGCCTTTTGCCCGTGAACGGGACGGGGACTGCACGCATCTTGTATACGTATGTGTTGCACTCGCGAGCGACGGGACCCACGGTATAAGCTAAACAAATCCGCGGACGCCGCCGTCTTCGTCGTCGTTCGTCCGTGTGCCGCGATTACGTCGATGTTGGTGGCGCATCGCGGCGTGCTGTTGACACTGGTTAACGGCGGCCTGTCCCGTTGACATTGGCGGCGACGGCGGTTTGTCGGTCTGGTTCAGGTTCACGGAAGCCATTCACGACTTCGCACGCCGCACCGCTGGCATAAAGAACCGCCCTGACGCCTACGGCCCGATAAACTGGGTTGCCGTATTCTGAAGAGGGATTTAGGTTGAACCAGAGAAAACTCCGTTCGTTGTCTCGTTGGAATCAATTTTTACATTTGAAATTCGACGATACGATTTACCGTCACGCTCATAAAATAGACAGCACAGAAATATAACAAGTTACATGGGGAAGTCGCGTGTCGTTGCAAAAAGAGCTGAACGCGAGGACGACTGTATAAGTGAAGTAGAGAAAAAGCTGTCCAACGCATCAATTAATTAATTGATTCAGCAGACGAGTAACCTCTTTCACGAGCAAGAAGCAGGACAGAAAAGGAAGCGGCAAGTCGATGTAACAGACTGCGCTAGTTCACGAACATCAATTGCTCGAGTTTCAATTTGTTAATGAAACTGGTACACTATCGTACATAAGTATGTTTCAACTGTAACTACTTCGATACTGGGAAAAGTTTTCTTTACAATTTCAGATAGCTATCGAGATATAAAGAATGCGTCCAACGTATATAAGCACACATTATAATTTTTTGAATTGACATCGTAGAAGTTTTATCTCGCATAAAAATCTGCTATCTATTAATTATTTGCTCGTTCGTACTCGGAGTTTAATTACAAGTCTTATGACTTATGAACGACGGTGTACGTCAGTTATAGCACGTCGAGAACGAAGATTGTAGCGAGGCGTCCGTGGTCGGGTCAGGTTCACAAAGGCTATTAACGTTTCACACGGTGGCGTAAAGAAGCGCCAGGCGCCTAGAGGCAATAAAATAAGGTGGATTGCCGGCGAGGCGGTGCGAGCGAGAAGACGATAGAAGGAAGGGGGTTGCCACGGCGCGTGGTATCAGTGTACAGCGGATCGGCGGAGACAAGGGGGCGCGAGAGGGAATCGGGAATTTCAGGGTCGTAGGGAGATAATGCCTTTCTTGCGGCGTTCGTGAATGGAACGGATCGCTCCTCGCTTACTACGACCTTTCCTTCGCGTAGTCCTACGTCGAAGGGTCAATAGCCTTGTTTAAAGGCGGTCGTTTTACTACGTCACGGAGGCGTGATCGTTTCGCGGAGAACGAGTCCCCGATTACCGTTGCCCCGTATTCGTGAACCGGGCTAACCATCCACTTTTACGACCGCGTCGACCCATTTGCATCCCTCCCAGCTATTACGTGAAAAGTCGATACGATAATTCACGTAGTAATCGATACGATGTTTCGTCCAACGATCGAGACGACGAATGATTTACGAAGCGCGGTGGATGAATGGAGCTCCTCGGTCGAGCTCCATTCACCGCGTGTGTTGCGTAAACACGGGATAAGTTTTCGCTAATTTGAAATTCAAGAGCGGGCCACCGCAGCCGCGGCTACCCCGAAAGAGGCGTCGGGGTGGTACATCAGCTGACTCGGTTCCTAAGATGCACCCATTCATCCCCGTCTGATCCAGCGTCTCTCTTTCTTCATTCACACGTTCACGCAGGCCCTCCCGTGTTAGCCCCATTGACGTGCCTCTGTTCCTCCTCCTCGTTCGTTCTCGGTCTAGCTTCGCTCGGGTTGCCCGTTATGCCGGCCGATTGAGCCTCTCCTTTCCGCGGAGCGCGGTGTCTTCCTCTTTTAACGTCCTCTCGTGGTAATGCCACCACGACTAACGCGATCACGACCACCAAGAAGCGCGGATATCCACGAACCTCCTCGAGAACACAAACACCCTTTCGTTCGCCGACCTCCGCGTGCCATCCCTCCGGCCACCTATTTTTCTTCGTCCCTCTCAAGCTCTTTATCTCTGTTCCTCTGCCCGAAGGTATTTTCCTTTGTTGATCGCCGCGAACAACGCGCCCGCTCGCAGGTAGCTCGCGGAACGAGGACGGAAGAATGCGGCTGGACGAGGAGACGAGGATACCGCGAGGAAGATAATGCCCCTCGGCCACGTGAGACCGTTCGACTAGAACGGGATAAGGGATCTCGTGTAAAAAGAACCACTTGTTCGTTTACAGTTTGTCTCTTTTTCAAATAGTTCGGGGGTTTCAGAATTTTTAATATGCTGACGGAATGGAGTGTCTAACGTCGAACTTTTCGTCCGAGCTAGGAAATATCATTACTGTGCGTAATTTCGTATTCGATTCTCTGACGCGACGAGCACTTTAGAGAATTGTAAAATGTCGCGCACGAACAGGTTGTTCAACGTTCCTCGCGAGGCAGATGAGAATACGTAGGGTAGATGTACGAGTTTGAATAAACGAGGGTGGCACTCGAGCTTGCGAGAACTGAAATATTTGTCGGGACTTTCCTCCGTTCAGTGGGTCAAGTTCAAACCGGTAGTAGTGGTAGTAAGACGGAAAGGTTGGCCGAAAGGCTTCGCAAGGCTGGATGGAGAAACAGGGAGTCAGAGAAGGAGGAGGAGGAGGAGGAGGAGGAGGCTAAGTCGTTCTTCCGTTTAGCAACCGATCGATGGGTGATCGAGATAACAGGTAGGCGAGGTCGCTATAAGGGATTTGCGAAGTTTCGAATGCCGGTTTAAATTCCCCCTCGCCCACCCCTTCTCGTTCGCTCCCATCTCGTTTCCACCGTCGGCCGCTCATTCAGCTCGGTACATCGTACTCTCTCCGTCTCCGGCCGAGTGTCCCTCTTTAATCTTCTCCCTCTGCGGCAGCACCCCACGCGAATGTAGGTGAACTTGCCTGGTTCGAGGTAAACTACCGGCCGAGACCCGCGCGCGTGTACATGCTTTATATGCGCTTTCGTGCACAGATACACACACACGTCGACGGTTCCACGTCTGTTACGGGCGTGCACGCGACCACGTGCACGTGCTGACACGTTTGCACGGTTCGTTAGCGGATACCTCGTGCTCCAGATTCGTGGCACGGCCAGACAAAGAGGACGTCCGGTGAACGGGAAAAAGAGCAGCGGGACGGCTAGAGAGAGAAGCCCAAAGGGCTTATCGCGATCCCAGTACACGGCAGGAATCCGGTCCGTTCATCGGCGCCGCCTGTAAACATCCAGGATCTCCGCCCTTCCGCTTCGTTCTTACTTTACGGTCACTGATAAGGGTTTCGCCTTCTCCGTTTTTGAGAAATCTCTGCATCCGTAATTCTCTTTCGAAACCGTTTTATAAGTACGTAACAAGATCGCACGACCAGGCCGCTGTGTATTCGTTTTTACTTTCGTCGCGACGTCTACTAAGTATGTATGTAAGCATCCACGCACGTGCCCGTTAGAGGGGACACACGTGATGCTTGCCCGATCACGTGAAACGCGAGACCGCGAACTGGAGATAAGAGCAGTTCCTCAGTTTCTCACTGGGTCAAGTTTGTCGAGGTTGAATGGAAAAGTAAAACGAACTGTTCGATATAGATGCACCGATTCTCGCAGCTCGCCTTTACATAACAGATATAGAACCAGGGAGCTGTTCTTGCGTCTCTAATGAACGATCGATGGTCTCGTCGAGATACCGTTCGTCCCTTAGACTCTCGCCCAGATATCCACAAGATCGGCTCCACTTTCACTTTTTACCATCTGAATTCGTCTTTTGTCTTCGCTGAGAATTGAGCGGAAAACTAATGAAACACCGGACGCGGATAGATAGCGGTTTGAAAAAGAAACCTTGCGATGAAAATCGATTAGGTTTCAAGTTCCAATTAGATTCTTGACAAATGGAGACAAATCGAAACGTACCGTCGACACGTGAGCGTCGTCGCTGTCGATATACCTTCGGGTTAGGCGTGACGAGCTCCTTTAACGGTTCGGGGCTGTTCAACTTTTTCCTTGGCACGAGGCACGTGCGACTCCTCGTGCGACGGATAGAATACCTGGCTGGCCCGTGCTACCACCTATGCGACGAACGTGTCCCGCGTGTCGGTGTGGAAAAAAGCCGGAGAAAGCGTGACGGGGAAAGAGAAAGAGACGAGGGGGAGAGAAAAAAAGAAAAACGAGACCGGCGTGGAAACGGTAGCGAGAGAGGGAAACGAGATGAGAGGGAGAGTAGAAACGTCTGTGTTAGACGCGTGCATGTGCGAGAGGCACGCGATCGTCGAAACTTTTGCTGTCCCGCGAATCGAGAGGTATGCAACAGCTGTTATCGTGTTACGGGTTCGCACGAGCCGCCCGTAACTTCATATCATCGGCGTTGGTGGTGGTGTAGGAGCCCACTCTCCGTTCAAGTGGGTCAAGTTCACTGCGCTTATGATAACATTTCTGCTCCGTTCCAGTTCCGTTCCGCGTCTAACTGCACGGCCCCGTTTCTCCTCCTCCGAAACCCCGGCGAACCCTCGCTCAAGAATTCCTCTTTCTCTCCCTCTTTGTCTGGTTCATCCCGAATGCTCGCGTCCTTCTCGATCGCGTTCGTAAAGCGTCACGAATCTTTCCGCGCAGACTGAGTCACGCCGCGCCGGGCTCGTCTCGATCTACTGCCGGACTTCTTCCTCTATCACTAAATCTCTGGTTCAAGGACGGCTCGCGGGATGCATACGCTCTCTATTCTTAGTTTTCGGACTCTTCACGTCTCGTTACGTACGGTGTAAGATGTCTGACGTAACTTCTGATTCGACGTAAGAGACTGTCTCGGCCTCGATAAATCTTGCGTCGAAACAAAAAATAAGATAAGATCGCGCGAGCATAAATCACCCGATAAGAATGCGCGATGCGACGCGGTAGTCAATGACGCGCGTCCATTACCTTTCTCAATATACCGGCGAGCATGATTTTCTTAGGTCGGTGACCCGAGAACGTACGCGCGCTCGGTGTTTAGCCAGTTTACGCGCAGAACCTGGCGATTACGATCGTTGAGTGATTTACGAGCTCTCACGAGTCCCCTAACCCGTGTGTTTGCAGACCGCATTCCTGCGACGGTCCGTAATGCGGCGGAAGCACGTGCCACCGCGTGTCTTGATGCTCGATTTGGCCCCGAGATCCCGAGGACGGAGCGCTTCTTCTCCGGTGAGTATATATCGTTCACATCACCATTTGAATATTACGCGTTCCCATACTTTTGATTCCCCTCATGTTTATGCACATTTTTTTTTACGACGGGTACAGCTAGTAACAACGAAATTGAGCCAGCTACGTGCATGTGTTAGTTTCCCCTAGGGGGACAAAATTCAAAACGAGTAATAAGTATACATCTTATTTTTTCGATGCTTGATCTGGCATCGGTACTGTTGGATTTTATTGTAATTTTGACGCGTCAAAATAAAAAGAATTTTAATGGTAATGTGCATACGTTAACATTATTTTTATTTTGACGTTTCAAAATTATGTTAAAATCCAACAATATCAATGCGAGATTGAGCATCGAAAAAATCAGATGTTGACTTATTACTCATCTTGAATTTTGTCCCCCTAGGGGAAACTAACACATGCACGTAGCTGGCTCAATTTCGTTGTTACTAGCTGTACACGTTCTCTATAAATGCGTCAAATCCGAAGTTTGTTTCTGTTTTATGCATATCAATTTAATTTGAAATCTAGCCGCGATCGATCATTTAAACAAACGATCGTCTTTACGTTCACGTTGTAAAGAAACGGTACATCGAATCGAGCAGTAGAACGATATACGAGACGGGACAGTACTCGAAATCGTGTAATACTATAATTCTCGAATCGGGAATGGGTTCAGTGACGCTTAGGATAATTTGACTTTCGTGCCGGGAATCCGGAACAGAGAGTATCGTATCCCAATACGGTCGGGTAAATGGAGTTCCGGAGTGGAATCGATGCGCGTAACCGTGGTTCGTCAATCCGATATCAATCGCGGCCTTGCGGACGTCGTTTATATACACACAACCTTGCACACCTTCCTCTTTCTCCCTTGTCCCTCGACCCCCCGTTCCTCTCCCTTTCTGTCGCGCAACAAGTGTGACGGCTCGTACCGCGGGATAGGCGAATGAACCAACGAAAAAAAAAAGAGCAAGAGAGGAAACTGGGTGGCTCGGGAGAGAAAAAGAGACGGGCGAATCAGCCGTGAAGAGTGGGACGGATCGTTCGAAGGGAGGAAGGATGGAAAATGGGTCGACATTTGTGTACCGATGAGCTTTGCGAGTACGTCAACGGCAGGACGCACCTGCAGTTCGACGGTTCGCTCCGTTTCTCCGCTCTGGTAAATGGGTAGTGCCTTCTCTCTTTCTCCTCCGACCTGCCCGCCCCACGTTCGCGTCCTTGAGAGTCGAATTCGTGCATGTGCACTCCGCTGGCCCATATGGTCTCGCTCGCGTCCACGTGACTGTTGCAGGTTGTTCACAATAGATTTTGTTGACCCCTGCATTTCAATGTTTCCATTCGACGTTCCGCCTGTCTATTTTTATAAAATTCCTGTCTGCGTCAAAAGTGTTTGGACAGATTACACTGTATCGCTACGGCACACAGCTGATAGCAGAAACGTGCTACTGAAGAAATAGGAAAGCTGTTCACTTTCTCGCACGGAAGCGAGAGAGAGAACTTAATTAACCAGAGGTGCAGCGCGCGTCGAACGTAATAAATATTTCATGAGCGAAACGTGCATTACATTGTTTGATTATATTTACATACATTTGATTGCGGAGCTGCGTGATTAATAACCGAGCCGTCGCGTGGCTTCTACCTTTCTTTCTCTCTGTCAGTTCTTTCGCGATCGTGCATTCATATCTGTTGCGTAACGTATCGACGTAAATATTTGACGAAGTGCCGGTGCCGTTGACCCGCCGCTATGAATCACCGTTTTCTGTGATCGAGGAAAACACCGATTTCTTTTTTCTTCCAATGTTTTCGTCCGTCAGAACCAAGTGAATATGAAACGGGTCAATGAGAAGTTCCGAACGTCGTTAAACGATTAATTTACATATCGTGTGAAACGATCTACTGAAACGATTGACGAATACACACGAGCGAGGAGACGGTCTCATGAATAAAATGGTCGATTCGGTTCGCGTGGCCGGAGAAATGAGGCATAACCGTGTAAAATGAACGTGTAATGACTTAATTGTACGTCCTGCGGTGGCGTTAAACGGTGTGTCGGTACGCGAAGGGGGCGTGTTAAATCCCGGGGTGGTGAAAGTTGGCAAGAAGAGGGAGGAAGGTCAGGCAGGGGCCAGTCTGAACGGTTTTAATGGGATTTATGAATGGACAACGGAGCCGGCCGGGTTTTTCGTTGGACGTGTACGCGTGTAATGCGACCGTGAACAGGAAAAGCATGCGTGTACCGCGTCGCCGGCGAGGGGCAAACATTATTATAGCCAAGGCTTGAATTATGACAGGCTCGTTGAGCGTTTCAATTTCACGCCGGGTCCAGCCTCTGGCATCAATTAAAGGGGAAGAAGCGCCGTTCCGCGCCTACCTTTCTTTCTCAACTTTCCGCGCGCCGGCCTTAACGCCTCCACGATTTAACGTGTTTACATAAGCGGCCGTAATTACGTGCAATTTGTCACGAATACGCTGTATCAGGCTTCGCGTTTCGCTTGTGTACATCGTGCGTGGTAGTAGTAGGGCCGCGTTTGCGTAATTACCCTTCCTGGATGGGCATTCCCTCGGTGCCGTTCTTTCACGTCCAGTTCCAGGGAGCTTCTCTACCCTCGGACCCCGTGTTTGTAAATTCGCTACATAAATCACACGTTTCACTATAATCATCGTGCCTCCTAATGGAAATTATACATCAATTGATACAGTGGCTCGGACGATTATAAAAACTGAATTTAGTCTTGCTCGAGAGTATCGTGTGACGAACTATTAAGGAAACGTTGAACATGTATCAATTTAGGAGAAGGATATGTCTGTTTCTTGTTCGTTATTTCTAAACGTTCGACCGGTTAGCTCGCGGCGAAAACATTCCTGGAGTAGCGTTTGAAAGTCGGGCCACGTGATCGAGAACGTCTTCATCGCGAGTAAAAAGACCAGGCCGTTTAATCTGGCAGCTTGCGACTCGATCGAGCCACGCCACAGCGTGTTCGCGTGCCACCGAGGCAAGCAAAAAGGACGCAACCTTATAGAATCCGTGTCCAGCCTCCTCCGAGAATGCTAGCCGCACGCGTTCCTTCTATTCCTGTGCCACGATCTCTCACCCTCGTTACCGCAGAATCTTACGAGTTTCGCATTAACGGGAAGTCAGATAGTTTTCGTTGAACGATGCTGACTACACACGAGATTCATGAATTTTGTTTACCCAAACACCAACGCGATTTCATCAAGTTTTTCCTGTCTGCTTGTTTTACAATCGACAGACACGGTATTCGTCCTATGTGTGTTTTAACATTTGCAAGAAACGAGTTCCGATTGAGTCATTCGCCGTATTTATCGTGGCACGTGCCGTTCACGTCGGCGATCTCGATCCGGCTGAATCGATCTGAAACCGGATTAATAGTGCACGCAAGTAAGTACGCGGCGGGACGCCGGGAGACAATCAGCCGAGTTTGATCTTGGTCGGACGAGATCCTGATTAAGCAGTCATGTTAATTGTTGACAGAAAAATTTTGAATCATCGGACAATCGCAATTAATCACGATGTCACTTTCATATCAATAATTTCGATCGTCTGCCGTTTAATTTGTGACAAAAGATACGAATCTTTATTATAACACATCGCGGTGTCGTGTTTGATCGAATTACCAGTATCGTGGCGTGTTGAACGGAATCAATTGTAAAATCGTAGTTATCCGCGGGTAGAATGGCTCCGGGGCAAGAAATGTCAAAGTCGTGACGGTCTCCCATTGGAAACACGTATTTGTAGCCGGCACGTGCCATTCCCTCGTCACCGTATCGATCGATCGAATCGGATTAATGACATGTTTGCCGATGGAATACGTGATGATAGCCGCGTCTTGCAGAATGACGGACGGTGATCGTTACGTTTATCGGTGTGGGAAATCTCGTGGTCGTATCATGAATGCTCGAAACATTTTTAGCTACCTATCCGTACCACGTACACGCACGAGTCCGCGACAACCGTGTCACTTCAAACGAGGATTACATGCTCGATTCTTCTTATCCTGCATCTGTATAATTACGTTACGACGTGTTAGGAGCATTCGTTTATGTAAACAGAAACCTGACGACAAGCATTGATATCGTCGTTATGTAAAAGTTACACGAGGACAGACTCAATGAGCAGTCACGCGAATTCTTTAGTAATAGTTCTGTGAAGTCAAAATTAAATTTCTCACTCTTCTCAAATCTAACAAACTTTCTTGCACTGTTTATCTTTTAACATATCTACTACAATAATTTGCATAACAGAAATGAATCATGGATCATTACTTCCTCCTTTTGATCAGTTGAAACGAGTGCTCTGATCGTCGAGGAAACAATGGATGAGTAGGATTGGTCGTTATCTGGTTATATCGATGACCCCGATAAAATGGTAATCAATCGTCGCGATAATTGTTACGTAATCCACGCGAGAAGTAATAGCTGGCAACAGGTGAGACTCCGTAATCACGCGGAAGGACGTTCGCGTTTCCATCGCGTCGACTGAAAGCAATAACGACTGAATGATCAGCGCGACGATCATCGCTTCCTTCTTTAATTACCAAACCGTGTAACGCTTACTCGGCTCTAATTCGCAGGTATCCATGCACAATTCTGGCGTTAGGAACAATTTTTTAATAGTTCATTCGTGCGGTTAGAAGAACATCGGGTGTACAGAGAATATAATTATTATAAATGTCAAGAGCTAAGAGCACGTCGCGGTGCACAAACGAAAAGTCATTCTGCTAATTCAGTGACTCGGTCAATCAGACGGCACGTGACTCGATTGATTCGCGCGATCAACGAACGGAATGCTGATAGATCAATGACTACTCACGAGGAGACGAGACGGTCTGCAAGAACTCTGGGAATGCGCGTTACATACCACGCAAAGGAAAAAGTACGAGATCGAGAGAGGGGTAAAAAAGAAAACTGGACCTCGGCGTCTGTCACGTCTCTCGTTTACCATATTTAACGCGCCACGCGCCTGGGGCTCTTTA